GCGTCTGATTTAAAAAAGAGTATTGGCTCAAAACGATTCGAACGACGTTACTTAGGTAGTTGAACATATCAATTCATTTTTTGTCCTACATGCTCATTCAAATTCTTTTCAAGCTGATTACTTTATGCGACATATTGACTGACAAAGTGGATGAACAGCAGAATCAAATCAGTGATTCAACAACCGTAGAATCTATCCTTATATAAAAAAAAATTCAAATTGCCGCTGTAACTTTCTAAGCATGGAATAACTCTTCTAGTTCTATTATATTTCTCTATCAGAGGGCATCTATTCAAAAACAGATTCAACGAAATTCACAAAAATATATCATGCTATGAATGAATTGACTCAACCAGGCAATAATTCATTTTGCTACAGATCATATAATGTAATATTTTCCAATGAACAATTCTATTTGCTCCAGAGTATATGTGCATCAATCCCTCACAGCACTATTCCTTCAATTTGTAGAAATCAAAACCAATATTTCCTTGAAACCATTACCTAAAAATCATATAACAGTAGAACGCGCATTCGAAACACTTTTTCAAAAATACTGCAGCCAAACTACCGAAACTCAAGCCAATTCCAAAGAAATACCGCTTTCTGAGATTTTAAACATAAATCATTATGAACACATTTACCTTCCTCGTCGACCGAAAAAACATCTTCAATACCTCAAAAAACAAAAAATTAAATACAAATATATACACAGACATCAAAAAACATTACTTCACAAAATATGCAAGGTTTGTCTAGAATATTGAACTATTTTTTCATTTTAGTGATCATCAGATGATATTCAAACTCAAATGAATATCATGGAATTCCAAAATATTGAATATTTGTACAGAATATTGAGTCCTTTTCCATTTTAATGATCATGAGATGATACTCGAAGTCATCTGAAGATTATTAAATTCGCAAACATCGAATATTTGTATAGAATGCTGAATTATTTTTGATCCTAATGATCATCAGATGACATTCGAACTCGTCTGAAGATCATTGAATTCAAAAACATTGAATATTTGTATAGGATATTGGATTCTTTTTGACTTTTATGATCATCACACGATATTCGAATTCATCTTACGATCACTAAATTCAAAAATATTTAGTATTTGTATAGAGTTTTGAATTTTTAAAAATTTTTAACATCATCACATGATATTTGAACTCATTTCAGCATCATTGAATACAAAAATAGTGAACATTTGTATAGAATATTGAACTCTTTTTCATTTTAATGATCATCAGACGATATACGAACTTACCTTACGATCATTAAATTCAGTAATATTGAATATTTCTATAGAGTACTAAATTATTTGTGCTTTGACTGATCATCAGATGATATTCGAACTCATTTGAGCATCATTAAATTCCAAAATATTCAATATTTGTATAGAATATTGAACTGTTTTTGATTTGTATGATCATGAGATAATATTCGAACTTATTCCAGCATCATTCAATTCAAAAATATTGACTATTTCTATCGAATATTGAATTCTTTTTGATTCTGATGACCATGAGAAGATATTTGAAATCACCTTAGGATCATTAAATTCAGATATAGTGAATATTTGTATAGAATGTTGAATTATTTTTGATTTTAATGGTCATGAGATGATATTGGGACGCATCTGAAGATCATTAAATTCAAAAATATTTAATATTTATATAGAATGTTGAGTTATTTTTGATTTCAATGATCATCAGTTGATATTTGAACTCATGTTAGCATCATTGAATTCAAAAATATTCAATATTTGTATAGAATACCGAATTCTTTTTGATTTTAATGATCATCAGATGATTTTCGATCTCATATCATTATCATTCAATTCGAAAATATTGAATATTTGTATAGAATATTAAATTATTTTTGATTTTAATGATTATCAGATGACATTTGAACTCATCGGAAGATCATTGGATTCAAACATATTGGACATTTGTATAGAATATTGAATTATTTTTGATTCTAATGATCATCACATGATATTCGAACTCATATTATCATCATTAGATTCCAAAATATTGAATATTTGTATAGAATAATCAATTGTTTCTGATGTAAGTGATCATCAGATGATATTCGAATCCATTTTATAACCATGAAGTCCCAAAATATTTAATATTTCTACAGAATATTGCGTTATTTTTTATTTTAATGATCATCATATGATATTTAAACTTATTTCAGCATCATTTAATTCAAAAATATTGAGTATTTATATAGAATATTGAACTGTTTTTGATTTCAATAATCATGAAATGATTTTCAGACTCATAGCATCATTATTACATTCAAAAATATTGAATGTTTGTATCGAATAATGAATTATTTTTGATTTTAGTGATCAACAGATGATATTCGAACTTATTTTATAACCGTTAAATTCTAAGATATTGAATATTTGTATAGAATATTGTAGTCTTTTTCAATTTTAATGATCATCAGATGATATTCGAACTCATATCATCATCATTAAATTCAAAAACTTGAATTTTTTTATGGAATAATGAATTATTTTCGATTTTAGTGATCAACAGGTGATATTCGAAGTGAAATCATCATCATTAAATTCAAAAATATTGAATATTTACATACAATATTGAACTGGTTTTGGTTTTAATGATCGTGGGATGATATTCGAAGTTATCTGAAGATCATTAAATTCAGAAATATTTAATATTTGTATAGAGTATTGAATTTTGTTTTGATTTGTATGATCATCAGATAGTATTCGAACTCATATCATTATTGTTAATTTCAAAAATATTGAATATTTTTATAAAATATTGAGCTCGTTTTGATTTGAATGATCAACAGATGGTATTCAAACTTATCTTACGATCATTAAATTCAGTAATATTGAATATTAGTACAGAGTGTTGAATTATTTTTGATTATAATGAACATCAGATAACATGCGAACTCATTTGAGCATCATTAAATTCAAAAATATTCAATATTTGTATGAAATATCGAATTGTTTTTGATTCTAATGATCATGAGATGATATTCGAACTGCTTTCAGCATCATTGAGTTCAAATATGTTGAATATTTGTATCGAATACTGAAGTCTTTTGATTTGGATGATCATGACATGATATTTGAAATGATCGTACGATCGTTAAATTCAGATATATTGAATATTTGTATAGAGTGTTGAATGATTTTTGATTTTAATGATGTTGAGATGATATTCGAACTCATCTGAAGATCATTAAATTCAAAAATATTTAATATTTGTATAGAATGTGGAGTTATTTTTGATTGTAATGATCATCAGATGATATTTGAACGAATCTTACGATCATTAAATTCAAAATTATTGAATATTTGTTTAGAAGATTGAATTATTTTTGATTTTAGTGATCATCAGAGGATATTAGAACTCATATCATTAGCATCAGCTTCAAAAATATTGAATATTTATATTGAATATTGAATTATGTTTGATTTTAGTGATCATCAGATGCTATTCGAATTCATCTCACGATCATTGAATTCAAAACATTGAGTATCTTAGTGAGTTATTGAATGTTTCGTGACTATCATGGTTGTGAGGTGATATGCGAAGTGTTTTCACGATCAGAAGGTTATGCAAAAAAGTGGTAGCTGTTATTTTTGTCTCTTGCGTTCCAGGATTCTAAATAGTGCGATAAAACTTTATGAACAGGTTTTAAATTCGTCGTTGGATTTTGGTTTTTTGGTTTTGTTTTGTAGATCTTGTTTATGCTTTCCTGAAAATAAGAATGAAAATAAAATTTTTTTTGATGCTAATTGTGGCGAGGGCGTTGTGATAGGGCATGCGAAAAGTCTTTACGGAGCTATATCAATTTCTTATAAGATGCTTGAAGAAATTTTCTTTTTATATAGACTGATAGTAAATACAAAGTTCTACATTTCTACATTTTCTGATCATTATTCATCTAATATCATACTTCTAAAATTTCCATTAGGCTGGTTTAGATATAATATGTAACAATAACATTGGTCAATATTGTCTACAATGTGGGTGTGGATACGGATGCGACTGAATGTGAATATGGGCGTGACTATGTGTTACACTCACACGCCAAGTCCATACTCATACTTGCAATCACACCTACCAAGCACACAGACACCCAGATTGAAATCAATATTGACTAATGTTATTTTTACATATCATAGCTAGACCAGTCTAATGGAAATTTTAGAATTGTGATATTAGATGAATAATGATCAAAAAGTATACAAATGGAGAGCTTTGTTTGCGCTATCAGTCTATATAAAAAGAAAATTTGTTCAAGCATCCTATAAGAAATTGATATAGCTTCGTAAAGACTTTTGGTATGCCTTAAGGTGACCGCTCACTTCGGTACATGACATTTCGTCCCGTTCAATTCGCCCCACACGATTCGTCCGAATTACATTTCGTCCCATTACATTTCGTCCCCTTACATTTCGTCCCAATTACATTTTGTCCTAATTACATTTCGTCCCCTTACAATTCGTCCCAAGTTCATTTTGTCCCCTTACATTTCGTTCCAATTACAATTCGTCTCATATCTTTGCTAAGATCAACTTTTAGTTATTTTAATTAGATGTCGTGTAAATACTTATCGTCGCGTCTATTAATCATCGCGATAATAAACGACCAATGAACAATGAATATATTCCTTTTTTTCTATTCTACATATTTATCGAGATTAATTTTCTATTTGTCATTCAACCACGTGCGCTCGTAGTTATTGGCATTTTGTACAAATTTGTACAAATAGTATAAACAAAAATATGAATACTATTGAGGTATGAACGAGTTCTCGAGGAAATTCAATGATATATCTTTCAGAATATTTGTACACTCAACATCGAATAACAGAAGAAAAACGTATATTTCGTTGCGAAGATCCAAATTGTAGAAGTAAGTGTAAATCGTTAAATCTAATCTTTTAACTTTGCTTGATATTATTTTTTGATCGTTGCCAAACGAATATTCAGATGGAAGTATTACTCAAAGAACCATCTGAACATTCTCATGTACCTGATCCAGATCGGCTGCACCTCATTCGACTTAAAAATGAAATTAAAAGTCGTGGTGTATCATCAGATGAAGGAGCTAGTACGATACTATTTGATGTATTACGGACAATTCCATTAACTATAACTACTGATTTACCTACAAATGACGCATTGTTGCAAACGATTCGATTTAACGACCAGCAATGCAACTTGATCATAATGGTCGTTTACCTTTAATATTACGACAAACTGATCGAGGAGAAAGTTTTATTCTATATGAAGATGATTCTATGGTAATATTCACATGTGATAAGGACTTATCAGTTTTAAAGCGGTTAAATTTATTAAAATAAACTTTATCTCATGTTGCTATACTGAGAATGAATAGTTACAATATGGGACGAAATGTAAGGGGACAAAATAAAATTGTGACGAATTGTAAGGGGGCAAATTGAAAAGGGACGAAATGTAATTGGGACAAAATGTAATAGGGACGAAATGTAAGGGGACGAAATCTAATGGGACGAAATGTAATTGGGACGAATTGAATGGGACGAAAAGTAACGGGATGAAAAGTAGGGGACGAAGTGTAGGGGTACCATGCCTTAAATATATACTTTGTTAAATCTCATAGAAGCTTGATCATAGTTTTTCTTACGCTGTTTCTTAAACAGGATGAAATTGGAGTTTTGGAGCACATGTGATGGAACCTTGTTATATCCACATGTGCCTATCAGTCGTAAAAGAGTTTCAGAGATCATTTCAAGAGAGCTTGCGAAAGCATTTGATACTGCATCTCTTGTTGGACATGGACTTTGAGCAGTGAATTCGAATCATGATGACAAAGAATCCTATCAGTTAATCAGCCTCTCGCTATGATATCGTTATCGGACGACTTGATGACTCTATGTAAACAGTTATTTAATGGAAAAATATTCCATGGTTCTGACTGCTCAAGCTAATGTGTACCTATTCTCTGACAGATTATGATGGAAAGCTTTAAACAAAACGTAGATTATGCTTGAGTAAGATCTAATTAGACTGAATGAAGGACTGCTTTCGATAAATTTGCTTAAATGAAAGTAAGTACAGAGGAAGATCCTGTGTCATATTATTGACTGAATAAAAGACTTTTCCAGGTGATTACGAAAAATAAGTTGTTCATGTTACATTTTTGAATGGTAGTGAATCTGTGCTAAGAGCTTTGTTTATTGTGGTGTTCAGATAATGACAAAATAGATTCGACCGAGATAAATCGAAGAAAAAGCGAAAGATGTGAAAATTAATTTATCCGAAAGAGAGAAGTATGTTTATTTTATGTTTTATTATGAACTAAACAATAGTTATGAAATGAATTTCGTGAGCATCTTAGATTTGAAATTGTGATGACAAAATATATTGAATGAAACTCTTGCAAGTTAATGTTGAAATGAGATGAGAAGTAATTGAGAATACAGTTGATTGTGTGAAGCGTTTAGCAACGATCGTAGGTACTATGATTAAAACATATTTTCTGACAAAATCAAGCATTCAATAGATATATGTTGATACTTGAATTCAATAAATATTATTATCTACTAAAAATGGTAGATTTTATTTTTATTTCTTAGTTTTGGGACGCAAATGTTATAATGGTTCGAGGAGAAGTCAGACTTTGGTTTTTACCTGAATGAATTTGCACTCAAGTGCTCACCAACGCAGAGCATCTGTGCGTCAAGTAAATCTTGATGAGTCTCCTGATGCACATTTTTTTCTGGAAAAATATTCCCTCTCTACCTCGCAAAAACGAAAAATACGGGAATTTCCGTAAAACCTATCTCGATTCACCTAAACATGCTCTTCAACGAGTAGACCAACCTCTTCCAGTAGATATCAACGAACTCTATCGAATGGACACTTTATTCATTTCTTACAGCATATGTATCACCAAAAAAGCGCTAATTAGTACCTAATTTATTAATTATTCTGTTAAATAGCGTCACGATCTATGCAGATGTGCTGTTCAGCATGATGATGCAACACTCCAAGTCGATCTCGACAAGCTCTATTGAATAAAGACTTCGGTAATCTTGTGTAAGTGCAGGATTGCCCGAAAACCTGCCGATTAGTTGCTAACTAATTAATCTTCCAATAAAATTTAGCGCGATTTATTCCCGAATCCTTCTGAAGAGATCGATCCATAAAATTTTGCATACAAGTCTAAACAAGCTTTTTCAACGGACTTCATTTTTACTTCAATTTTTCCTTCTCTCCAGGAGGAAACCGCTCTTTGATGTAAAAGTGCAACGATTTTTTATAAGACCTGGCATGTTACAGCAATGATCAGTTTTCCACATTGTTAGTGTAGACTGTAAATGGAACTGGGCGTACTTCATCTGATAATTAGTTATTGACTGAAGATATTTTTTTTACGTACTGGAAAAACCCTTTCTGTTTCCTGGGTTTTTAGTTTTCTTCGTATGGAGAAGCAACGCTTTATTTTGTTTAGTTTCTTCTCCTATCAATAAGTAATACATTTTTTCTTCTATCCTCTCATTCAAACAACGTGTGGATAATTTTTTTTCCTTCGACCACTAAAAGATGGATAAACATTTTTTTCTCTTAATTCAAAGGACTAAACAAATACTTTTCCTTGCTGCTCACAGGTACGATAGATCGCTTTTCTTCAGCCCTTCTTGATGCATATAACCGAGCGACAAATTACTTTTTTTTCTCACTATCGCAGCGTCAATGAAATTCTGTTTTTTTCCCGTTGATATAGACGTGACAAAAAATATTTTCTGTCCTCGTTATGAAAACTTGAAATATCATATTTTTCCATTGTTTCGCTTGTACAGTGATAGAAAATTCCTTTCATTTGACATAACATAGCAAAAATCTACGAACATAAGACAATCAATCGTGTAAATCAGATATCTTTCCTCACTTGACCATTATTGCTAGAAGAAAAACACGCTACTTTTCATGCTCCTTGCATTCAGAGCGCTGTATCAAATATGAGAGAAATGCTCATGAGCGAATTTAAATGTATTTAGCAAAATGATTCATGAACTTGAAAATACTTATTGATTGTCATAGTGATTCCTGACTCTGATCAACATCGAAGTATGCAGAACCAATAAGGCATTCAAATGTATGAACAACCACTGTCGATTTTGTTGGACAGCATTCATGACACAATGAAGCTGATAAGGAACTCATTCGAGAGAGCATGTTCAATACTATTCGGAGAAATTGATTTGTGCCATAGCAAACTGCTGACAATCAAATCATACAATGTTTTGGCGAGAAACTAGACCAAAGCTCATCAATAGGCGGCTTTTTCATGGAAACAAGCACAGAATTGTGCTGAAAAAATATTCATTATTCAGAATTGATTGAGATCGACTTGAACATCTGCATCAGAATGCTGAAAATTACTCCAGTGCGAATTTCGACGTGGGTGTGGGTGTTGGTGTGGATGCAGTGCAGAGAGAAGTAGAACTCACACTGACACCGATACTAACACGTCCACGTCCACATCCACACCCACATCCTCCTTCTGTGTTTCAAGACCAGAAGATCCCAAGCTGAATATTATATATTTTGTACAGCGTTTTTTCTCTACAAAATGGGAAAAAAAATATGCAAAAAGAACTTTGGCTTAGGTGAAAAATAGGACTTATACCTTCCCATTTTTCATGGTTTTTGCATAGAAAATGGATATTTTTATCGGTTTTCATTGCCATATCACAAGGTTAAAGTAGAACAGATACGATATTCGGAATCAGCGTCGAAAACTGCATCTAATCCTATATGTTTGAGCGAAAACTTTTTCCTATTCAAAGTTGACCTGCGGGGGACCAGGGTAAAGATTTCTTTTAAATATAGCTGTGGGAGACCGCAGGTCAATTTTGGATAGGAATAAGTTTTCGCTCAAACATATAGGATTAGATGCAGTTTTTGACGCTGATTCCGAATATCGTATCTGTTCTACTTTAACCTTGTGATATAGTAATGGAAATCGCCAAAAAATATCCATTTTCTATGGAAAAACCATGAAAAACGGGGAGGTGGAAGTTCTATTTTTCACTGAAACCGCAGTTTATTTTTGCATATTTTTTACCATTTTGTAGAGAAAAAACCCGTATAAAATATATAAAATTCAGCTTGAGATCTTCTGGTCTTGAAACACAGCAGGTGATATATTATTGTATTTGGACTGATCAAAAGGACCCCTTGGACTCTTGTTGGCTTTATAAAACTCGAGTTGCTAGACATTATACTATGTGAATATAGCTCATTTTGTTCAGTTTTCAATTCTCTATCTTCTGATATATACCATGATAATTTTCCATGATCTATTGAAACGCAAGCTGGTACAACTTTCAAAGAGCATTTTTTCTTGTTTCTTTCTCAAAAAGGTATGATAGTGCTCAAAATCGATTATTGGTTAATTTTTCATAGGAAGGGTATTAGAACCTAAAATTTTAGGGTTGGTCGTTTGAGATATTGGTATGTTGAATGAGGAAAAAAACGAAAAAAAAAATTTTATTCAGTGCCTCATATACTCGATGCCCTCATAGATGCTCTCTTAGAATGTTAATTTTCCAGCTTCCCAGATCAATGATACCCGGCCGTAAACGGTAGCCCTGTACGATGACTGTGTACAGGGATTGTAAGCAATGCTTTAGGTCTATTACGACCATCGTAAACGACTATCTGACAGAGTCGTGAGTCATCGTATACGTCAGTTGTAAACGGTCAATGAACGTTCATTGCTTTTTGTCGTAAACGACCGTTGTCGTTGACGACCTACTCTTTTAAAACGTAGCAACGGTTCCATTAATTCGACTCTAAGAGACCTCAGCTTCCAGTTACTGTTTTTCAAATCTGTCGAAATTCGAAGAAGGATGTTATATCCCCAATGCGAATCCGATGCATCGGAACACTGATCCTAATATTGTATGCCTGAGAGGCAGCATTGAATCATGATTACTTTCCACAAATGTATTTTATGCATTATTACAGTTCACATTTTCATATCTGTATTCTCTCTCAAGTATCGGAAAAAAATTTTTATCGCTGTTCTACTAGTTATCTTCATAGATGGATAAATTCAAGCGTGCTGATTACAGACATCAATTTGTTTTCAAAATTATTAAGATAGAAAGACACATTTGGGGATCTTTTTGAAAGCTCTGAGAAGACATTTTTGACCTGCAGCTTCGTTGAAGCATGCTCTACTAAGGTGACACCTATCGTTCGACACCTCACTGGGTGTTCTCATACGTATTTTCGATTAGAAGATAAAAAAGTAAACACTTTTACTTAAAAAAGATCTTGAACAGATAGTTAAACTCTAATCTTTCGAAACATGTAAGCACAGTTTAAGTGCTCTTTATATAAAACTTTTGAAAAACTCACCTAATTCTTTTTTCTAGTAAACGTTAGTCGCACTGCTGATACTATGTTTTTGACAAGGTAGTGTTCATCTTCCATTTTCTAGCATTTCAATCCTTGAATCTATACAGAATGAATGAAGAGTTAGTGTTGCCAACGAAGAAGTTCGAAAATAGTCATAAACAATGGCGTTCAATAATAAACGGTGTTTCGCGTAAACAGACAAACATAAATCTAGTAGGAGTATCTCCCTACGTCATTGTCAAACTCACAAGTTTTCTCGATTTGTACTTCTACAATCAGAGGAATACAGAACCTATCAGAAACGATAGATGAATTCCATGTTAATGCCAACAATGACTTTGGTACGTTTTTATCTGAAGATTGTAATCATAAAACACCAGCTGATAATTCTGATGTTCATGAACTAGATGAAACTCTGCTGGGTGTGGAGTGCGTGTGGATGTTGATGTTGGTGTGAGTATGGGTATGGGTGTCCACGAAGAGAATATCCACACCAACATCTACACCCACGCGCACATCAACATTCACACCCAATCCATACCCACACTTACCCACACGCATGGATTCATACTGGAACAGGGATTCAAAGATGTTTTTCTAGCTTAGCATTTTCTTTAAGATGATTTCCACAGAGAGATCAGACGATTTCATGAGAATGGTAACGTGCTGATTTTCTTGACCGACCGCATGAAGTCAGGTAGAAAAAAGAAACGGAAACCATTTTTAGGCGACCCCGTTGTTCAGCCACACTTTGACGCGGAAATCAGTGCTTTTGTTGAAAAAAAGCTGTTTAAAGGTATTACATGGCTTTTTGGGGAAACTTCACGAATGTGTTGATTTTTCCAGCCAAAAGGATGGATTCATATTGGAAAAAGGAGTCAAAGGCTTATTCTAGGTTAAGATTTTATGTTTAATGATTTCGAGACACAAATCGGAGGACTTCTGAACTATGCCAAAGACTTGATTTTCTCGACCAACTTCATAACACTAAATAGAAAAAAGCAATTACAGGCCTTTTTTAGGCGATCTCCTTGTTTTTGGAAATGTTGATCCGGAAATTCGATTTTCATACCCAACCGATCTGGTATAGTATTGCAAGGCTTCTTTTTTTGAGATTTCGGAAATGACTTGAGTTTGTCATGCAAACGCACAGATTTAAATTATAGAAGGGATTCAAACACGGTATTCTAACTTTGCGTTTTCTTTGTGATTATTTCTACAGATAAGTGTCAGGATTTCTGAAGAGTGACAATGAGTTGTTTCTCCCAATGATTTGCGTAGACTCAGGTAGACAAAAGGAACTAAACCCAATGTTTAGGTGACCACCTTGTTTAACCAGACTTAGACTCGGAAATCAGGGATTTCAAAGAAAAATCTTTAAAGGTTCTCAACGCATATTTTCGAAGTTGCGTGTAAAAGCGCATTTCTATATCGAGAAGCATTCATTCATATAGGAAAAGGAGTTCAAAGTCCTTATTCTAGTCAAGCATTTGATTTCGCATGATTTCAACTGAGCAATCAGATGTTTTCTTAATTTCTGTCAATCTGTAAATTTCAACATCGAGCGTCATGGACTTATATCGAAATAGTTATGAAAGGCCTTCTTCGCCTGATCAGCTTATTGTGCGCGTTTTTGACAAGAAAATCAAAGCTTCTGTACGCGAAGGTCTTTAAAGGCGTCTACAGACCTTTTTTTGGATTTCGTGAATAGGTTTATGTTTACATCTAAACGCATCTATTCCAACAGAAAAAGGGATTCAAAGGCCTTATGCGAGGTAAGCACTTATTATTGGATAATTTCAACGGAGAAACGAGAGGATTTCTCAAATGTGCCGATGAGTTGATTTCTACAACCAACCACAAAGAATCGCATAAAAACGCAATTAAACGTTTCTTTTACGTGGGCACTTTGTTTTGGATGATTTCGACAAAGAATTCGTATTCTATTTGAACACTTTTCTTCAACACGCTTCAAATGATTTCTTTTTAAACCTTGTAAGTAAGTTTCAGTCTCTCTCCCACTGCTTAGAGTCATGTGGAAAAAAGCATTTAAAGGTGTTTCAAGGAGTTTAATCGTAAACTGTGTAAGTAAGCTGAATTGCGCATCCAACTGCTGGGATTCATGTCGTAAAAGACATTTGTAGGCCTTTTTGTAAGTAACTGCGGTGTTCTCGGTGATTTGAATGAGGAAATCAGAAAGTGTGTGAAAACTCCTTTAGCGGTGGTTGTTTTTTGAAAATCGTGTTGAAAGGAGTTATTTTGAAAAGTGATCTTTAAAGTCGTTTATTTAGGAATGTCCTTTAAAAGTGCTTTTGTGGAAAAACGCCTTTAAAGAAGTTTATGTTTGAAAAGATGTTTGAGAGCGTTTGGCTTTCAAGGGCCTTAAAAGGCGTGTTTTCGGTATGCTTCATCGCTTTTCATTGCATATTTAGATGCAGTGACGAAACAAAGTAAGTTGGTCACAAAAGGTTGGCTGTGAAATGGATTAATACGGTTTCATTTATTTGACGCTAATTACGATAGTTCATAGTGATATACGGCGGTATACGCCGGCGCTTCCGATCCTATCCGCTGAAAGACGGTCGTATTACGACACAGGTTTCGGTGTATACGATGGATGTGTTTCACCGTATACATCACGGCGTTATACGGTCGTAATACGGTTGCTACCAAACGGGTGAAATACGGCCCATTTAGGGTCGTTTACGATCGTCGTAGTAATCGACCTGGGTTGTCTTATTAGTATGGTAACTTAGATAATTAAGATAAAACGAGTAATTTCTAAGTATCCGAGGAAATGCTATTAATTTCTAATCTATTACCTTGAACAATTCATTTCTTGGCTGTAGCACTGCAGTGCTGATGCTGCCTACCCTATTGATCATACATTAAGATGTTATATAGGAAAAAGAACCTTTACAATTGCAAAAAAAAATACAAACTTAATCTGAACACTTGTGTATTATTACTCATTAAAGTCAGTTATAGTGAAGCGTTGTTATTAACTGCTAATGCTCATGCTTTTGCATGAATTGACATTGTTTTATTTTGATGGTACAACAAAATTCTTGACTGTAAGGCTGTCATTATCTGCATTCACAATAGAAGACATATTTCTGGATTTTTTTTTCATTTAGGACGTCTTGACTAAACAGGAATCTTTTATTTCTCCAGCTATTCATATATCTGCATGAATAAACATGGACAAAAAAATTTCTAATTTGATATGAAACCTTTGAAAATTCGAATAAGAACTCGTAGAGATAAGTAGAAAGAACTATACCGTTCTTTTTTTTAGTGACCATAACACTTGAAGTCGTCTACTTAGCGTATTATAGTTTTTCACTTTAACATTGGCTAATGATTGTTGCATTGCAAGTAGTAAACGTAGCATCTAAGATTTACTATGTAGGAGCTAATTAGTGACTATAATCTTTTGGGTTAAATGACCACTCAAGTAGTGGTTAATGAATTCAAATACCAGCTAGTAATGTAGGTAACATTTTGTTAAAATATTTATGATTTGCTTTTGTTTTTCAGCTGCTTCAACAATGCTTTATAAAGATGACTGAATAAAAAAAACCAAGAATCGTTCCAATTAAATATGGATGTAAGTCTTGTAAGTTATTCAAATATCTAATTATGTCACAGTTTCAAGTAAAGTAAAATTTTTGACGCAATGTTTTTCCTCATGTATGAGCTTAATAGAATTCTCTATTGTTTCATAAATATTCATCATTGTACAATAAAAAATATAATGTCTTTAAAATATATTTAAAACTTTATCTTCATACAATGCTGATAATTGATTACCCTGGATATACAACAAAGTAGAGAATTGATTCATCACAAAAATCTAAATTTGCTCATTTTCTTGCTACAAGTTTAATTTCTCTTCTGTTTTTTTTTAAGTTGATACCATAAGAATAAAACGCGAAAAATATTCTAAATATTTACTGTAGTAAGCAAACTATTTTCATAGTATTAAAAAACTAAAAATTTTTTATATTTTCAAACCATATTCTCAATATTATTCTTAATATACATTTCAAAATACATCATTTATTCAATCAATGAAAAAGTAAATTTCTACAATTTTCTATTGAAATAAATATAGAAATTTAAATATTTATGTAAATATTTTGTATCACTATTGCTATTTTTATTAAAAAAAATAATTAACTATTGAATTATTTCTTCATTTTAATATTATACTGAATTAGCATATTTATACGCTGAAAGTTTGATATCATCAATTGGATTATAGTCTAATTTTCATACGACAGGAGATGAAAATGGAAATTCTCAAAACAAATATTTTTCATATTGTAAAAATTATTACTCATAGAAAAAAATAATATTTCTTTTTTTGCTTACTCGACCATCGTTGTCGTAGTTCCAAGTAAATTAAATGTTTATTTATCTTTTGATCAAATTCAACTTTTTTAACACGAAAAGAAACACCTGGTGTAATAAGTTCTTCTTCTTCATTAGGATATTCAGATAATTCAACAAAATCAGCAGTAAAAGCATTTACTACTTCCATAATAAATAATGTATTACCAAATTCTTCCATTGTTTTACGATTACGACTACATGATGTGAATGCTTGAAATGATCCATATGTATCTTCACTTTTAGCCATTTCTTCATATTTAGCGATCTGTTCACGATTTAGATTTCCTCCTCGATAAAGTATTTTCTCTGTTGTTGCTTTTTTATTGCAAGGATCATCCCAAAGTAATAAACAAAAAGGACCTAATGTAGGAATTTTACTTCTCCATACATGTTCTTGCTTTTTGTCTCCAACTAGTCTCATTGTTGTGTTTAATGTTTTATAAAGAAAACTTTCTAATGAATACATATAAGCACAACATTGCCATACTTGTTCAAATCCATTGTTCTTTTGTTCTCGTAGCATATTTGCCAACTCTTTAGCTTCTTCTTCTTTTCTGATAATTTTTCCTTCTTTAATAATACCTTCTGCAGCTTGTTCAACAAGTTGCGGTATCATCTCTGGTTTTTTTGATGGTAATTCTTCTGGTTCAAGGTTTAAATCTCTTCTAACTTCGATTACGAAAGGTGATACCCAACCATATTCACCACCAAATAAACGTTCTGTACTAACAGGAGGATCTACGAAACGTTCTTCTCGTAAATGCTTATCTTCTCGTTTACGCACCTCTCGTTTGACAGGTCTTTGCCTATAATGATCTATATTTGATATCTGTCGACTTGCTTTGAAATCAATATAATAATCATCTAATACGACTCGCTCTTCTCCATTTGAATATGCTCGTTCAATAATGAGTTTTTCTACATCAGAATAATGATTCCATTTGGCTGGCTCAGAACTTGACCATGGATCCAGATTTGCCTGCCACATCCATTCAACACATTTTAAAATGTCTTTTGTTTTTGTATCTATTGGAGTAGCCATAATAAAATTATTCGTTTTCTTTTCGTTTAATTAAACAAATATTTTATTATCTTAAAGTGTAAAAGAGAATGAAAATTAAATAAATCGATAAACAATACAAGACTTCAATTTTGAATTCTAATTAAATGCAAACTTCGATGAAGTTCTCCAAATTTTTATAAAGCCATGAGAAATCTTAAGAAGTCTTAATAGATTTTGTTGAAAATTTCAAATGTCATTAAAGGTTTTCAAGACTTAAAGTTTTTTTCAAATCTTCACAATTTTCTTCAATCGCTTTGATAATTCTCAACATATTTTGATTACATAGACAAATTAATACGAAGAAGAACAAATGACATGGTTTCGTTTTCGATAATCTAATTTAACATGAATGTGAGATTTTATCGTTTTGTTGATCTATTTTTATAAAGTTGTGTCAAGAGTGCCTGAATCTGTCACTGATACTCATACTGGCAACAAAATCATTCTTTCACACTTACACTTATACCGCTATTTTCATACATTATCGAAGTCTCTTGACATCTGCTGAAGTCTTAAAGTACACTACTAAAGAAAAATAAACTTGTATGACTCTAAACTTCATTATTGAGACGATTGCTAAGAATCATCATACGAAAAAAAAGAGGTTCTGTTTACAACCTTTGTATTTTGCAAGATACTTGATATACAACGCTAGAAAATCTGTTATTAATTTTCAGATTGAAGGTCTAATACAAATTTGTTTCTCTTAATTAAAAATATAATTGATTTATGTATAGAATAAAAACAATTACAATTGAATAGAACAAACATTGTTAAAAACAAAATTTATTTAAAATTCGACAATTTACATAAAAAAAGACTACTATTGAACATGTCTCCATTCCTTTTTTACAATCGAATTATTAAAAAAATTTCAAACATCATTATTCAATATGACTATATTTTGTACAAATTACAAATTCCTTCAAAAATTTTGTTGGTTAGTTCTTTAGCTAAATGTTCGATTCTGATAAAAGATCTTCATTAAAATAGCCTTATTATAATTTTCATCGGAAAATTCTAGCAACATATGGGATGGAGAACACTAGAAATTTATTAGAACTTTTGAATAAAGCTTTAAAACTGAAATTCTTTTGTATGGTTTATTAAATTGAAAATACATATACTAGGGTGTGGGTATTAATGTTCTTTATATCGACATCCACATCCACATCGAGAAACTACCAAATTTAACATATGAACTGCCCATGGCGTACCTGAACAGAAATATTCAATTTCCAAGTTCTGTACTATTTGGTTATAAGAACATGAGAATAAATGAACTATTCGCATCAATATTGGATGTGGTTGGAGGTGTACGTGAGTTATTTATTCCAAGACATACATCCGCACCCTCGTTTGATTGAAGATCTTCATGTCCATCTGTAGTAGACCTTTCGAATTATTATTTTGTATAATTTATTTATTTCACATAAAATAAAGTCGAAAGTGTTGATTAATGACGGATTTTTATATATAATAATCGATATAGCCCCTATATGGTACTATTAAACTTCAGAAGAAGTCGCATTCAGAGACACCTAGATATCGTCAATAAATTTCATCCAGACTTTCGAAACTCGCTTCCTTTAAAATCTGATGATTGTATTAAAACATTGATGCAAATAGTTCATATACATGTATTGTCAGGTTTCTATACCCAAATAATACATAGTTTAAAAATTGACTATTTTTGTTGAGGTACGCCATGGACAGCTCATATTTTAAATTTGGTAGTTTCTCGGTGTAAGCTATGATTTGACCTGAATAAGGTCAATCAATTCGCTTAACACCTCAAATCCTTCCATTGTTAGGTAGAAATACATCCGTTTACTTTCAAAATTTGACTACAGAACGTTGTGATGAACCCAATCATATGCCACAATTTTCAGACTTATTACTTTTAAAATAATAGAAGTTTCCATTTATCTATAGCTCAAAGTCGACATCCTTCAGAAACCCCTAGGCTATATGAGATTGCATTACCTTTTCTCCTCAAATTAGAGTATGATCACATTTATCTGTTGCAGTAAAAATATTACTCTGATGTCATGGTATACTGATGCTGCTATCTTTCCATTATGATATTTGATTTCATTCATTTGTTTTTTTCCAGTTGATATTATTTTTCTAAAACAAGTTGGGATAGCTTTCGAGATACGTACGGTCATTATTATTAATGTTAAAAGAACTATACCATGTTTTGAAATATATTATTGCACTGATAATTATAGCTCAAAAAGGCGTATCCAAAACTTTCTTATTCTAGCGGAAAAGAAAATCTATAGTATTCTATGATTTTTCATTGTATGATATCATTTTACTAATTCTTGCAATTAAAACTATTATTTGATATTGAAAAGTGTATGGTACACATTAGAATCTGAGTCATAGAGCAAAACACAAACTTGTTTTTTAAAGATATTGGTAAAGAAGTATTGAAATTTGATAGAATTGATTGACTTTTCTTCTAATATCATACAATATAAAATGAACTTTTTTGCTGAAAATTTTTCAAAAACTGAAATTTTCTAATTGTATGCCTATAGATGTAACCATACTCTAATTAGATCATAACAGACAATACGATATCATATAACCCAAGGATTTCTGAAATATGTTGTTCTTCAGATATAAATAATGGTGAACTTGTGTTATCTGAAAATCGATGAGCGTGAAACTAGCAGCATATGATTGGATTTATTACAACACTCTAATCAAATTTTGAAGGAAAACGGATGTCTCCCTACTCAAGATGTGAAGCATATATCTGGTCATTCTATGATATTTGAGTTTCAGGGAAAGATATAGGTTGGCTTATAAGTTCGTGAAGAAACTTTTCTTTTCGATAAGAATTCTTTAAGAAAGAGATTCAACTTTCTCACGATCAGTTGAACACCATAAGATACAATTTTTATCTTGATGTAATGAAATCAAAAAAAAAAATCTTTCATATTGGACCTGTGATCTCAGTATGGATAAAGGCTTGGAGCCTAAATCTGTGTTACAATCAAAGCTCATTAGGTTTTACTTACATAGAAGTTTCCAGACGAATGCTTTCTTGATAGACAGTTTCCGCCTAGCTGTTGGACTTTTGTCCACCACTGTAGTTCTTCATTTAACGACAGTTGCTATCAGAAAAAAATAAGCGTTAACGATAGTTTTACTGATTTTCTTGTAATGTTTTGAATTCTAGCATTAATATATTAATTAAATACATAAAATTTCATTATTCAAAGAAAATAAATGAATTTGAAAATATATTACATAATATAAAGGGTTTTTTTTTCAAAGTGATGTTGCTAAATGAATATGACAAATGAATCTAACCAGATAATTATAAATATGAATATTTTCTAAAGTGATAAAATTTTCGAATATAAATATTGATGGTAGAAACTAATAAAATTTTATTTTAATTACTTATTAATAACAACCAGAGCTTTGTTTTTCCTACATTTCATTCAAACAAAAGATTCAATTAGGTAAATTTTTCGTTTTCCTTTTATTAAATTCATTTTTTGGAATAGAAAAAAAGGAAGAAGATTTTTACAATGTCTCAAATAAAATGATAAAAAAATAAACTGTCGGAATAAATTTTACAATTCGAATATTTGTAAAATATTTAGGTATTCGAATATCTTTTCTTGTTTCAATTTTTACTGTTTTTTTTAATTCAATAATTTGAAATCTTCTGTAACTGAAAATACAAAAAAGTAAAGCTTTTCTTCTAATCTGAAGTTTTGGTTTCAACTGAAATAGTTCGCTTTTTTTTCGAAAATACTATATAGAACAAATTATATATCTTATTATAATTAAACCATGAAAACTATTTGTTTTTGTTAAGTTTGAGTTGATAAACACTATAAATCTAATTTTCATTATATGATAATAATATCAATTAAAAAAAATGAGAAAAAACTTTGTAGAAATAACGAATAATTAAAATATTTTTGCGAAAAAAAATCAAGAAAGATATATACGGATTTTATTAAATGATACAAGAAAAGGTCTCTGTATAAAATTATGGCTTGATGATCTAATTCATAATTTAATCAGATTATTTATTTTTATTTATAATTGTTGACCAAAATTTCTTAAGACAAATGTTTCTCACTATTCAAATATTAACCAACTTATGTAAAAACTTGTTATTTAAGAGAATAATTCATTTAAAATCTTTGAAATGTATTTAAAATTTTAATCAAATCTTGATTATTTTTCTGATAGAATTAAATTGAAATAAAAACAAAACCAATCTTATTAAATGTTTAATTTCAATAAATGATAAAAGTATTCCGATTTTTAATTTGTATATTTCAATAAATTGAATAATAAATCATAGTTATAATTAAACTTTTACCAATTTTTATTTCTTTAGTGTTTTTACTCTTAGATTATTCTATTTACTATATTTTTTTTTGATTAAGTTTTAACTATTCTAATACAACAACTTGTCATAACAAATTATAAACATCAAAAACAAGAACAACATATGAACTAAACATTTTGTCTTTTCTCTAATCATAGGATCTATTCAAGTTTCAATGATTATTGCAAAAAGAATTCCAAATGAAACAAGTTCAAAGTACAACTTCGTAGATATTGAAATATAAAACATCATGTAGCTACTGTTAACAATCATGGAAAGACTTTGTTTTTTTCATCAATTTGATCTATCTAAAAAAAAAAGATTGTCTCACCAATATTTAATTCAATGTTTCGAAAAATTCGATAAACAGGTCATCGATATATTAGAACAAACCTTATATATATGTGAGCTTTGATTCTAAATCAATACGAGTCATTCACTTTCTATAACATAAATGATGGAAATGGACGCGATTATTAAAAAATTCTACCATATTTGTAGCAAAACTATTTCTAATGTATTTGTCACGATTGGAAATCTTCTAAAAATTCCTTATGTCAAAAGTCTGTAATATTTTTAAATGTCAATATGTATTATACTATGTACA